CATGTCCACAAAATGCCGTCAACCGAAAACCTACAACATGCTCCAAATTAGAATACAAAATTGAAATTTGGTACAATGAATATCATTAGGAAGGGGCATCTGTCAATTGATTAATTTGTAATTAGTGAGCATGGTCCCGGCCTTTAATTTGCATATTTCGCAAGCTATTTCAACTTACTTACTTACTTGTTAGAACCAACTTTACAAATTTTCGACCTATTATATTCAAACTATTTACAAGAGTGTCTAATAGTCTAATATCTTCATAGTTGCCCTGAATGTTTTAAAATATGCTACGGCTTCATAGTATAAGCTGGTAAGACATATTTGTAGAAAACTAATTCCGTTGCTTAAATAGAAGAAAATATAAAACTTGCTAAACAAAATTGCAAAATAAATATTTAATAAATGAATTTGTATATCCTGTTTGAGCGTCTCAATAACAGTGATTCATATAGCTGATCCAATTTCATATACTCACATGTTTAGATGAATGTATGTACATATTTGTATATGGTATGTGTACGAGTACATATAATTGAAAATTTTTGCCGTTCATTTTCTTCTGAAATTTATTCTTTGTATTTTACTGATATTTATACCTTAATTCCGAACGATATGCAATTTATTTCCAGAAAACAAAAACTTCAGCAATTTAAACGCAAACGAACAAAAATAAATAATAAATTGAAAACATAGAAAATCATGCTAAAACTAGATTAGTAAGATATGGCGAAACGATGAACCCAGACTAAATCCAAAGCGCTTTGCGAGAAAAGCGACAACAGCAGCAACTAATCTATTAGACAGGTGAAACAGAGCAGCAAAATGAAGTTCCAACTTTTGCCGCTGCAGACAACATTTTCTATTAATATTTGCTATTTATCTCATATTTTGCTTTTTCGATATTGCGCACATAGCAATCGGCTGTTTTTGATTTGGACAGCAATAACAACAACAACACGTGCAATAGGCAGGCTTACCTTTACCTCGACCTTGTTGCTCACCTAGACACCCGCCCCACCGCTGGTATTTAGTCTTAGTGCAGCCTGCTTTCACGCTTCACTCGCTTCGTGTTAATGTTGCGCCGTTTATTGGACTTGTTTGTGTATCTTTATGTTTGTGTGTATGTGTGTTTGTTCTCAGTTCTCCTTGGCCTTGTTGTTGCGGCAACAACTTGCCCAAGATGCTGCTGTCATATCGCCAATGCTTGTAGCAATGAAATTTGCAATGCAGCCAGCAAACCAAAGAAAGAGAGGCAACAGCAATAACAACAACAACAACAGCAGCGACAATCACCGCCGAGTTAGCGGTGAAGGTGAAAGAATTGCTTTTCGTTTGCTGCAATGGCATTAACAATAAAATGCGAATGCGGCTGGAACGTGGAAATGAAAAGCACACAGCCAACAACAGCAACAACTACCACAGTAATAGCAACAGCACGTGCACTATGACCATTGCAGGCAATGCGCATTCAGCATTATTTGTATTAGCTCAACTCAATAACACACACTTACATACATGCATACATACACACAGATGCACCAGCACCACCACCGCCGCCGCAGTGTTGATCGCCGTACAATTTGCTTAAACAATAAAATTTAAATGCAATGCAAAGATTAGCTGCGGTGAGAATTTCGCAATTTCACTGGAATCTACACTCCGCATCAACATCCTCATTGCTTTGCACGCCCGTTCGTGCGCCTGAAACCCCCCGCCCACTCCAACCGTGGTCGATTTACTCTGGACCTGCCAGTATTGCTGTGGCGCTTGCGCGTCATGATTGAACAGCATTGGGCATTTGCATTCACCTTCGTCTTCACCTTCATCCTCGCCTACCTCTTTGCATTGGCTCTAGCCCTGGCCCCGGCTGTGGCTTTGCATGGTCGATTGTTGTCTGTCACAGATTGTAGTGCTTGATTTTAATGCAGTTTTAATGGCACGCGCTCAACTATTTCACCTGCACCATTCACTCGGCATTGTTCCGTTCTCCCGAATTAGAAAGCGCTTATGGAGTGGGAAATTATCGCAATTGAGCTTCTTGGAATTTTGCTGCACTGTGAAATTGCCTACGGTGTGGCAGATTCCTTAAGTTGCGTACGCACAAATATTCACAGAAATTTACTAAAATTAGAAAATGACAATTATATTTATTCTGCCGAGATTGCGGATAATAGTTACTAGATTGTGGTTTGACTGATTTTCATTTTCGGAAATTGAAATATCCTCTTAAACAGAACTTTTATTTAAATTTTTATAGTTGCAGGGCTTAAAGGTTTTCTACTCCTAATGGTTGAGAACGGCAACAGAGTAAAATAATATATAAGTAAATATATAAATAAAATATATAATATATATACCATATACCATATATAAATATAAATAAAATGATGATTAAATTGATACCCAAACGATAAACATTGTTTTCTTAAATTTTACAATTTTTTTATGTTTGTGTGAAATTTGGACTCCATAAGCCAATTAGCTAGTATATTAAAATTTTACAACGAGCTTGCTTGACATTTCGTGTGTCCAATGGAAGCACGGCTACGAAATCATTGAAAATGTTGCAGAAGTTGGGAAGTCTGAACCCAAACCACATATATTGTACTCAAGTACATACAAAGCATTCAGTGAAGGTGGTGATGTCATCGAAAACTTGCCTCATGGGAGCCATCCATCCACCTCTGCTAATAACGACAACATCGAAAAAGTTAAAGAAACAGTGCTTGAAAATCATCGTATTGACATCAGAGAGTTAGCAGAGGATCTGAACATCTCTTATGGATCGACTCAACACATTTTGGATTATGTTTTGGGTATGAATCGTGTCAAGCCTAGACCTGTACCAAAAGACCTGAATCTTTCGCAAAAACGACGTCAAGTAGAGGCCACAAAATAAATGTTTGTTAACGTAGCTTGGAACCTTATATTCGTCAAACGCATTAGGTGGTGGTGGTTAAACGTAGGTTTACGTTGAAACTGTCCGATTAGCCGAAACCGAAAAAACTAAAATTCGCTGTTGGCACTGAAGGTCATCTCAGCCGAGGCTTTAACAAGTGTATGAAAAATTGGATTAAGCGTTGGCATCCTAGTATCGGTTCAGGAGCCTATTTTTTTGCAATCCAGGTAAAATTCGAACATATGGTATTTTTAGTGATGTCATGGTCTACGAAGGGGGCTTAGCTCATTTAGGCAAATGGTATTCAAGTAATAAGTAAATAAGTCTAGGTTGTGGTAGGAGCAGGTGCTCCTTCAAAGACTTGTTTTGCCAGCCTGGATGTAAAATTTAATGTCTAATGTTTATCGCAGTTTTAGTAGATTTTAACAAAACCGTGGGCGTGTTAATCATCCGATTTCACCTATTTTCGTACTGTCTCAAGAGGTGTCGAAATGATAAGTCCTGTACAAATTTGGGTAATATAGCTTTAATAGTTTAGAGGATATATACATTAAATCTATTAGTGCGTGGGGCCGGGCCCACTTTTTACAAATTTTTAGTCCACATGTGCCCCTTGATATTGCAATTCCTTGTACCAAATTACGGTTTTGTATCTTAAATTAGTGCTTACTTATGCATTTTATATTTTTTCGATTTATGGCGTTTTGTGTGCGCGGCAGTAGTCTGATTACGCCCCTCAACGAATTCGTTCTCACATTTTTGTGCCAAAGAATACGTTTCATTGAGATATTTCAATTTTTACAGACGGACATCTGCGAATTAAAAAAATACTCATACCATACTCCACAGTTTATTGCGGTTCTGAACTTATTTCAGATTAAATTCTTAAAAGTGTCGACAGTATCTTATATTCAGATTCACTCGAACTCCGTCTTTTCTGTTTTGTTAATATCACTTAGTATGACCCTCATATTTTTTCTTCAGCGGCGGAAGCCGCTTCATGTTGGTTGCCTGTTCAAGAAAAGAGTGCACATTCACAGTATTTTTGGTAGACCCTTAGAGAAGAAGTTCTTTACCCTGATAGGCAGGTTAGTAACTCATAAATACAATACATAAACATACATATTGTATAGTGATGATTTCTTTCCGTCTGCTAATACATACTTCTGAATGTGACACGAAAAGAATTTACGCCTTTGCTTAAGTTACTTTATTAAATACAAGTACTTGTAATTAAAAAAGTTTTAGTCTTCGTATTGATTTCCATAGTCACATTAGTTTATTTGAAAAATTTTATGATACAATTTTTTAATGTACGGAACTTTTTTCATTAACACGTTAACAGATAATATTCTATATCAAAGAATTTGTATAAAGTTTTCCTATAATCGGATGAAAAACGACGTTTCTTTTTTTAACTTCTCGTGGCTTCAATTCCCATAGCACATAATTTTCTTTCTTTTGATATATCCGGCGCTTTTCGCGTTTTGAAATCGCTGCTTGATTCTGCAAGCTCTTTTTGTTTTTGGAAGTCAAAATAAGCACTTTTAAATCGTGCAAATCCAAAAAATTTTTTCATATAAAAATAATGAAGAAGAATACGTTATATGAATCTCTCTCTCTCTAAAATCGCTCTCTGCGAATAATAAGTACGTACATACCTTTGGTTAATGTCATATCAAGTTCTTTTTGTTACAGATGAAACATCTTCTTTTGATTTGGTGAATATAATAATAATTCTTTTGATTTGGTGAATATAATATATCCATAAATAGTTATACGGCACAAGTCTTCGAAAATATCCTAATTCCGTTTCCTCTCTTAAATAGTTATAATTCCTTTTAGTCCTGTTATAAGTATTATGTTAAAATACCTGCAAATCGTAAAATGGTGTATCCCTGATAAATAAAGTAGCCGACATTATTGTATTAAAGCATTGTGCCCCGAATGGGTTAAGCTATTGGCATATATTTATGTCGACCTTCCGTTTTTAATGTCACAGGCATTTAATTAAAAAACTTTGTTCACTTCCTGCGTATATCGCACTATATAAACGCGCCGTTATAGCGTCTAAGTTTAGTTTGAGGTCAGAGGCTCAACCGTTTCGCAGCAATTGCAAAACTACAGACTTATTTGTTATTTCGCTGTCATTATGCCGAAGATATTACGTGTTAGCAGTGCTAACGTTTACAAGTCGCGTGACGCGCTCACATATCTTTTCAATATTTTCACTTTCGTCGGCACAAATCCGTTGGAAAACCGTTCGCGTCGATATTACTGTCTCTATTACTTTTATTCGTTTACAGTGAACTTCATATGCTGCCTCTTCTGTCCGCTCTCATTTCACATAGGCTACATAAAGTTAAGGTCTGTGCTAACTAACAGCCAATTACTGGCCGCCATACAAAATGCCGTTCAAGTGTCGGGCATCCCTATCAAAATTTTCGTCATCACGTGGTACATGAAGCGTCTACGACATGCGCTTGATATTCTCGATGAATTGGATGTGAATTATACGCAGCACGAAGATTTGGCGAAAATACGCGAATGCGTACAACGGTGTAGGAAGATTGTATTAATATTCTGTTTGCCCTACTACAGTTTCGAAGTGTCGACCATAGCGCTGGGTGTGCTACAGAATCGCGCACCACTGGCTGCTTGGGTGCCTTTTTTGGATGGGCAACGCGCCGCTTGGGAGTACTGGACGATTGTGTTGTGGGATTCGTTTATCATGTTCATTTTGTTGTGCCATCAACTCGGCAGTGACACTTATCCGCCGATATTCATTAACATCATTCGCACACATATACAATTATTGATGTTGCGTGTGAGTCGTTTAGGGCGCGCGGATGCGCTGACTGCGAATCAGCATTATGAGGAGCTGGTGGCATGTATTCGCTCGCACGTTCAAATTGTGAGGTAAAAAAATGACATTTCCATAATATTTATCACAAAAATCATAATTTTCCTAAACCTGTTTGTTTCTCAGCATTGCAAAGATTGTTGCGCCTGTTATTTCAGTCACTCTTTTCACCCAATTCGCTACCACCGCCACCACCCTATTGAATTGGTTGGGTAATGTGGAATATCCGGAAAATATTATATCCCTCGCCTTTTTTTCTTGCCAACTGCTGCAAATTTTGCCCTGCTGCTCGTCTGCCTCTCAACTTATTGCCGATTGCGAGCGTTTGCCCGACGCGATTTTCCACTGTAACTGGGTGAATAAGGATCGCCGCTTTCGTAAGGCGATTTTGTTTTTTCTGCAATGCACTCAAACCCCTATACGTTTTTCGTGCTTGAAACTTTTCGATGTTAAGCTCGCGACAAGCGTCGCTGTGGGTTTCATGAAATTTCGAATGAATTTATTGTTAACTAATTGAAGGCTTTGTTTTTTGCAGATTGGAAAATTCGCTTTCTCGCTTTACACTTTAATAGAGGAGACAAAAGTTGGCACTGACGCGGAACATTGAGACTTGGAGTATTGTCTTTTTCCTGCCTATCTTTTTGTGGTTTCAAATCGTTGAAACTTAGTAGTGAACGATGTTTTATTCACAAATGTCTTAAAGATACACCTAATTTAGAAATCAATTAACCAATATATTAGGTAAACTTCACTAGGTGTGCAATAGATGATATGATGTAGACTTCTACGGTCGTTGGATATAACATAAAGATTAAGATTCAACTTCATCTAATAGGTACCGATGTAGAATTCTTATTAAAACAATAGATAATAATAGAAAGTTGACTATATAAACCCTCTTTTTAAAAATTGTGTTTTATGTTTTTTCGTGAGCGAAGGGTCAACATTATTAATACACGTAGCACTTACCGGATTGAAGAGGTAAAATAGCTCTTGAAAATAATAGTGGATAGTTTTACTCTCTTAACATGTTGTTACAGAGCATAATAGTTTTGTTCACCAAACGGTTATTTGTAACATTTCATTTAAAACGAATCGATATAGGTATATAGTTATCGTATATCGATATATAAATGAGCATGATGATGTGCTGAATCACGTCTGACGGTCTGTCTGTGCAAGCGATAACTGGAGTAAAGATTTGGACATCACGCTAAAAACTTGGGTACGCGTATTCACTGGCACCAAGGAAAGATTGGTATTGTGAATAGGCGGAATCGCACCATTGTCACGTCTACTTAACACCATTAATCGAAAATTATAAATAGCTATAACGGAGCACTAAATTAAGACATAAAACTGATACAAAGAATTGTGGTTGGGGGAAATCTTTGTTGGCTGAAATATTGAAAACAGTAGACACGGCGTCGCCCCCTTATAAGTATAATACACATACCTCACAAACCACTAAAGATATATCAAAAACACTTGCTGGGGACAAGCCCCAGCAGCACTTCCTCAGACAGTTTGGATAATGAGTGACGCCCACTCACCATATAACGGTTGAACTGAAATAATTCTAACTCACTAAATATAATATGTATATACGTCAGAAGCATTGAGTTTGAAAAGCAAGATGATGCAGAAAGGTTACATAGAAATCGGTGCCAATAATAGGCATAGGATAATAGGCGTGGCACCGTCCATCTTTAGGTTAAATTCCATATCTCAGGAACGACTCGGCCACTATCAAGCAAATTTGGTGTCTAATATTCTCTTGACGTGTTATTCCCGAATATCACAATTTTAAATTGCATCCGTTATCCAATCTGTCCAGACTTTCACCTAACGCCAATATACTCGTTTTAGTGATTTTCGACTTTTCACCCGCCGTTAATCCGTTTAGTTTGGTAAAAGTATATAATATTTTATCGATATAGAATCGATGGTCTGGTTGACATTCTTCTCATATTCCCAATGTATTAAATTTAACCCTTTGGTTGTATTTATATCACTTGACTTAGGTTGAAGGTATTAATGAAAGCCCTGGTTCTATGACCTACAACACATTTATTTTGAAAGGAGGAAAAATAATTTTAAACTTTCTAGGTAGTAAAAAAATAATTACTAGATTATGAAATCTGTAATATATCTATCTAACTTTTCGCGTGTTCCCTCCAAACTGGAATATATTTACCTATGTCCACAAGTTTGTTTTGTTGTTAAGAATTACTATTTCATCAATGTTTACAGTACCTCTTGCTTTTCACGTCACATGATTTTACAAAATATCACACCACATCATAATACAAAATACAATACATGTAAATATATAAAGATATGATAGAAATTTGCTTTCAACATTTGCAACATGAAGCAACATATTTCAAACATAGTTTATACACATATTCCTACACAATACCAATGTTTAGATGTAACTTTGATGTTGATTGACAATGAAACCACTCTATGTATTAGTTTTGATTAGGAGATAAAAAAGTCACAAATAATAAATTTTATTACAGAATATAAATAACCTTAAAACAATGTGAACTCATTATGAAATTAAATTGTTTTATACTAGTTGGTGAAAGAAAGGCGAAATGTTTTATGTTGTTGTATTGGTTTGTACTTTAGCAATCTTAGTGAGCGTGTTCCAGTCTCTAAATCAGTCGCTTAACCCATAATTCAAAGGATATGCAGAAGGATCAGCTTCTGTTGAATACATAGAGTCCTGCCTAGTTTCAAGAAGGATATCACATTAATAGGGGTATTTTCATGACGTAGCTTTTGTTTTGTGGAATGTTGCTGAGGAGAAAGGCCATGACCGGGTATGAATTCCGATCATATTCTCTTGTGCCGACCACTTTTGGATTTGGCATTCCTAGATTTCTTTTTATAATTTACCATACAAGCAATTTGCTTGCAGAAATTTTTTGGGGAGTTTACTTTATCACAAGCAAAAGTATTTGAGAGGAACAAAGTATTTCGTAAAGTCATCGAAAACTTGTCTCATGTGAGTCGTCCATCACCCTCTGCTAATGATGATAATATCGAAAAAGTTAAAGAAACAGTACTTGAAAATCGTCGTGCTCGCATCAGAGAGATAGCAGAGGATCTCAACATCTCTTATAAATCGACTCATTACGTTTTGGTAAATGTTTTGGGTATGAATCGTGTCAATGCTAAACTCGTACCAAAGACCTAAATCTTTTGCAAAAACGACGCCGAGTAGTGATACCAACTTAGCTGTGGATATCATCATTACTGGTGACGAGCCATGGTTTTAGGAATATGACGTCGAAACTGTCCAACAATCTGAAAAATGACGCACCAAAAACGAGCCAAGCCCGAAAAAATCTAAACTCGCTAAAGGCACTGTAAGTCATCTCAGCCAAGGCTTATAGCCAGTGTGTGGAAAATTAGTTGGTATGCTTGAATTAGATCAAGAGCCTAACAAAGATTTAGGTTGTTTCAAATTTGTTTAGATGGTATAATTCTTTGAAAAACAAAACTCACGACTACTTATGTCGAGTAAATTACATGAAAAACTATCACCACTACCAAATGTTTCTAAACAAACCCGTTAACTTGCAAACCCACCAAACTCTCCAAAAACGCGCAACCGCATGCGAATCACGAGTGTAGAGAAAAGTTGACTCGCCACTTGGGTGCCACTTCACACCACAGCTCCACTGCTGCCGGCGCTGCCTTGGCGCGGGAGCTTCAGTTCAACACAACCTGAATTGACTCCACAATTTCAGTTGCAGTTTGTGTCTCGCGCGCGACGGTTCGTTAGCGGTGAAATAGTGTTGTTCTGCTTTGCGCCGCTCTGTCGATTGCTTAGCACCGAAACAGTGAATAGACTCGACACACCGGCGTCCGGCTGTGTGTGTGTGTGTAGGCTTGTGGTCGGCGTTCGTTTGGCAAACGACCACTGACGTTGGCTTGTGTTTGGTTCGCTTCACCAAAGTGCAGTGCGATTTTCTTAGTGCAAATTCGGCGGTGTAGCAGCAGTACGCTTACCGGCGACCGGTCGCAGTTGTCTGTCGCGGTCGTTACAAGTGCGTTGGATGCGTCGGTGAATCGGGCGCTAAGTTGCGTGCCCGCACAGTGATTGATTGACGTCTGTCAGATACAGTTGCAATCGCATGTTGCTGACATTGCCCGAGCAATACGCTTCATTACGTCGCACTCACATTGAGAAGTGAATGGGCGGCGCTGCGCGGTGTATTCATAAGTGTATTATAATATTAAAATAGCGCAGCAAAATTAAGTGCAATAAAATTACGCATATACATACATGCAAACTGATATTAGTTTTTTATGAGGAGTGCAAAGCGCTTTGGTGTTTGTGCAAAAAGTCCAGCTTTTTACGGTAATTGAATACAATTTTTGTTAATAAGCATAAACGAGTGAATTTATGATGAAATTTAAAACAAAAAAATTAAAATACATAAGCACATATCTACACACGCATACACACGTGTATGCAAATAATGTAATTTGAAGAACGTGTTGAAATTAAAATTCAAAAATTGTTTTATGGCTCTGCTTTATTGTTTACATTAATGATTCTCAATAAGTGTTTGTGTTGTTTTTGTTGTTGCTTCTGTGTTTATATGTACTTTTTTGTGGTACGTTGCCACTTTACTTACCGTCATTTATGTGCGTTTGCCTTAGAATTTCTATTAAAATGTGCTGGAAATATAAATTTGAAATGCCTTGCTTTCAACTACATAAACACGAAACCTCAAGATTTGAGCGTAAAATTGCTGTGTTGTTTTATTATATACCTTTTAACGGGTTGTTGGTGTTGCCTTTAAAATGTGTTTACATTATTATTGAGTGAATTACGTGACTGTTGATTTCTTTCGCTGGTTAATTAAAGTTATTTATAGATTTTATATGCTGTTAACCGGCTTCACCCAAAAAAATTTAATTTATCAGACTCTTGAATATTCGAAAATAAAATTTGCTATTTTGAATATTAAATTTAATTTTGCTGTGTTAGAAATAAATACTAGTGTGTACATTCATAACAAAATGCAAAAAAAATTTCAAACGTTCAATATTAGTTTGTGGTTTTCAACTTTAAATGTTTTATTGGTTTGAATTAAGTTTGTAGCGAGATATTAATTAGAAAATGTAAAAAAAACATTGTTTTGATTCAATATTAATGCTGGTTACCTTTTTCCACTAAGTTTTTAATAATTTTGTGTTTGGATAAGAAACATTTTTTCTGAACAAAAGTATTTTTTTATAAAAATTTTTTATAAATTAAAAATTATTATTTTTTTAGATAAAAATATTTTTTTTTTATAAATTAAAAATGATTATTAGTTCGATAAAAATATATATATTTTTACTTATAGATGCAAGCATTTTAAAAAATAATTAATTAAAAAATTTTAGTATTAATATAATATAAGTGAGGAAATATTTATTAGAGAAACCAAATTGATTCATCTTAACAAAATATTTGGATATAGATGGATGGATATAAATATTTTTTTTAATATATTTAAATTTAAAACTATTTTCCTATATTCTATCAAACATATGAAGCAGCCTAACGAATTTTTTTGTCAAATGACGATCGCCTTATTAGGTATTCAGACAACAGTAGATATTATATAACATTATTTATTTTTATATAACAACTAATCAATTATAATGAAAATGTCGACTTTCCGAAAAAAAATATATATATACAAGTATATACAAGTAGTATACAAATATATAATAAAAGTCAACACTGAGATAAATACATTCTTTGTGATAGCCTTTGTTTCCAAAATAAGTAAATTACAAAAAAAAATACAAAATATATTTACGCGTAATTTTAGTATTTAAGTGAAATAAATGAAGCAACAAAATTATGTATAAACTTTAAGTTTGACCAAACTTAACATAAATTAAATAATTTACGCCATAGTGTGAACAGCTAAATTATCTTTTTTTTACTTAAATCTATAGATTTTCTATTCCAATTATATCATTGTGTTACAGAAAAGAAAAATTTAAATTGTATTCAAAGCTGCAAGAAAGCCTTACAATATTTTACTAGTTTTAAACCAAAATTTTCGAACTTTTATTTCAATCATTAGCACTACGTTAGATCATTATTAATTACAAATAAATTATAACTTTATGCAATACCAATTGTCTCTTACTTTAGTAAATTAAAAGCTCTGAAAAACATAGATATCAAATTTTTGAACGAGACAAATTTGTTAATTTTAAAATGTTTCAAAAATGTAGTCAATAATTTAAGACGGTGAATGATTATTTCAATGCGAATAGCGATGTATTCAAACTTATGCATAAATAACTTAATTTATTTTAAAACCTTTTAAACCTAAGAAATGATTAACGATTGTTATCATTTTTAAAATTTATATAAATAATTTACTATTAAAATTAAGTCTTTCTTAGTTCATTATTTAATCTGACCTAAAAAAACATTACTACAAAGCCTAAATTTTATAATCACTCATTAATAAATTATTTATTCAAAAATTTCAAATCTATCCCCTACAACTCAGCTAAAAACTTCATCAGACATTAATCAAAATTTATAGATATAGTATATTAAAGCAAAAGAAATATAATATACAAATATATATTATATATATTCTCTTATTTTGCAGATGCATTAAACAACTCAGTAAACACTAAAGTAATTAAATAAAAAAATTTTTGCGAATGAAAAATCGAATGAAGTTGAAAAAGTCGGCGATTAGCTAACAAAACAAAAAATCTGACATAAAATATAACACATTAAATACACACACATAAATAATAATCGGAAAATGCATTAAAACACGAAAAACATCATAATTGTGTAGCCGTATAAATAAATTTATGAATATTTTCCAACCTAAAATAGTGCTAAAAAATTAGTAAAATACAAAAAAACGTAACAAAATTATTTCATAATACTAATAAAAACCACAGTTTTCAAAAACATATGCTTTTAAGCATTAGCTCTAAAGTGCTGCGATAAAAGTGCAACAAATAAACAACTAAAAAATTAATGTTGTCATAAATCAGCGAAAAAAAATGGTAAGTCAAATTTATGTTCTTTTCATTGTCTTTTTTTTTTACAAGTAAATTTAAATTGGCTAATTTTCATATATATAATATAAGCAAATTTAGCTTATGCAGAATTTTTTCAAAATTGGTTGCTAAAATTTTAGTTTAATATTGCAATTATATGTAAATAAATAAATATATATATACTCACGTACTTTCGACCATATAAAGCGTGTTTTTGGAGATTAAAATCTTTGAAAAAAAAAAAAAAAACAGAAAATTACAGAAATCGTACATTATTATTTTGTCCTTGGATACATATTTAAAGCTGGTTCCACAAAAATTATTATATATTTCCAGGGGGCTCAACTAGATTAATGCTGCTTAATATGGTTTAAGTGACTTCCCTTTTCAACCAATTAAAATGTATGTCTTCCAGACAATATTATCTACGATTGACACATGAAAGTACATTATAATATGTTGTTAAAATCTGTTTGTCATTTTTTTTACTCTCCACTGACTTTTAAATCTGGAATTTAAATTTATTAATTAAGTCTAAGATTATATTTCCGTAAACTTATAGAATAGGAAGTCTTTTTAATACTCGTTTTTTTCACAAGATATAATATAAGTACAAGTATATATAGGTGAAAACTAAATCTACTGCTCTATCGATAAATAGTTTGTACCCTAGTAGGTCAGGCAAAATTTTGACTGCTATTATGTTCAAAAATTTCTGTTCTCGAAGAAACACGCAATCTCTATACTACTATACTACTTTTTGGTTTAGGTTTTGATTGAAAACATAATGAGCTTAGCAACCAAATCACCTATCTTATCTTTCAAGATGAAATTACTGAAAGAAACACCAATCCAATAATCCTCTTTGATCCGCTATGCTTGAGCCTATTCTCTTGTAAAAAGTTATATTTTAAAGGTAAAAGATAGTCATTTGAATGGTAAGCTTCTTGGAAATTTTCCGCATTTAATAGACTAGTGTATTTATACCAAATGCTCGTTCGATTTGTCAACTTCCTGTTGTTGGTTATTAGCTAAAATAAATGTAAACTTGAGAAGAAAAATACAACTATGCACATGCATACTTAAATCCATTTATATAATATAATGCAAGCATGATCTCATCCTAAAGCTAAAAAAACTGGATATACCTATTGGCATTACAATTTTTAGGTTTGCAATTAACTGTATTTTGTTGTACAATAAAGTTCACTGGAATATTTATATATAGGTATATATGTATATATGTGTACATAGGTATGTACCTGTATACCTATACCTATGTGCATATTATTGTATTTAGAAACAATTTAGATTTATTTTATGCCCAGACTATAATTTAGCTCCAAATTCTAAATTCTATATAAGTCTTGCTGCAAAATTTTTAATTTACATACATTTTAAAATGCAAATAAAAATGAGATATATTTGTTTTCGACTGCTTATAGCTTTATACATATATATATATATACACAAGTATATAATTAAAATCCAAATTTAGTTCTATTCTGAAAATATTCCACGGTATAATAGCAGGTAAAATACATATTATATTATATATCAACAGTGTTCAAGTATTGCATAACTATCATAATGAGCAAAATGCGATTTAAGTAAGTGATAAAATCTGTTTGACCTGTTCTGCATTGCTTTATTCAAAATGAAAATTTAAATTTGCTGAACCTTATATTATTATTTAATAAGCAATGCACAATCACATTTTAACTAGGAAAGTTAAAAAAATACTTTTATCAATTTCAAGCTGCTTCCGAGCTGCTTAATGTTTTTAAGAATATTTTATTCATATTAGAAATACATTCTTAACCTCGTCCACTTTTGTATAATTAACAAATCTTTTAGTTTAGTCGGTTGTTCCACGATTATACTTTGCTTTAGGAACAGAACTTTGGTGAGAAGATCATACGGTACGCCAAAGTTCTATCAAGTTGGCAAAAGTTTTGTGATTAACAATTAGTTTTTATACCCTAAACAGGATATACTAAGTTTGCCACGAAGTTTGTAACCCCGAACTCAGACAACTATAGCATTTAGGTGCCATACAAACTGATCAATCAAACCCAAGTCCTTGTTTGGAAAACTTTTTTATTTGACAAAATAACTTCACGAAACACGCTACGATCTCTAAATAAATTGATCGTTCGGACCACTATAGCATATAAGTCTGTAGCTGCCATACCCACTGACCGATGACACGCATCTTATTATTCCTTATTGTGCTATAGAAAATGCACCTATAAAGAGTATTTATAGCTTCATTATAGCCGAATTTACCGTTTTTTATTATTCATATTTATTATGCGAAGAAATAATATTCTCTACTTACCCCAATTTGCTTGGTTAGTTGATAAAGAGGGATTGGGACATCAACCATCAAGCGACCGAGATAACTTTTTCCACAAGAAAAGCTACAACGAAGATATATAATCTAGGATAAAGTTTTTTTTATTATTGTTGAATTAAAAAAATAAATATCCACGACTGTAAAGTCAACTTAACTTGAACCCTTGCTTTTATGTTAAATTCGGTCATAAACAGTAACCCAAGAGTCAAACCTAAACAACAACTTGATTCAGTATCACCCATCAGACTCATCTGAATGTGCGGAGAAGCTACTGCAAAGAGTGGAAGAGTATACAAAACAAATGTTCTTTGCTGATTAGTGTAGTAGTCGTTGGAATATAATGAGATGGTCCATCATTTTCAGATTTCGGCATTTTTTAAATCTGTCTTTTACATCTTAATAACATAAGCTGAGCATTTCAATATTTTCAATTCTCTCATATATTTTTCGAGCTCAGCGGAAAAGTGAAAATTATCGTGGAAAATTGGAAAATAATGAACCGCTCGCAGAATCTCAATAAAATCCATGCAATATTTACAGCACGTTTCCATAAATGATGTTTTAGATCACAAAAAGTTAGCTAATTTAAGCGAGTTAATTCGATGACACTCCCCCTTAGTGTGCTGCCAATCAGAACCGGCCAACTGCAGCAAGATCGAAAGCTTCGGGGCAACAAAGCATAATTACCACGTGAACGTGTGGCACGTACATCTATGGCGTTGAGTCTCGACTCTAAGGCATTGCAGAGTTGATTTGCGAGTGCTCATGTGCGTGCATGTGTGTGTGTGTCGGCGTGTGCGTTGCTCGCTCGCATATTTCTGTGTGTTTGCACACTTAAGTGCTGCAATTAGTGCTCCTCCTAGTGTCTAACTGAACTTAATGAATAAATAAATGCCACTAATAGTTGCCACATTTCCTGTTTAGCTACATTCAACGTGCGCCGTAGCGCGACGCAACGCAACACTGATGTAAGTGATAGTGGTAAGGAGTCGGTGGGGCATGCACCAACTAATATGTAAGTATGTATGGTGGAATTGTTTGCATAAGATTCACCTGGGCATGCAGAATGAGTGTGCTGAACAAATCGCAACAACAATAACAACAGCAACTGCCATCGCCACAGTCACGCTGTAGCCGCGCAGCCACATCCGGCAACAATGATAGCGCCAAAACGTGCTCACAAAGTAGTATAAAACAACAAAACCCAAAACAACTTGCAACAAATGTATGTATTGAGACGGCACACACACACGCCGAAACCGATAAAATCAACTTTGAAAAAATTAAATCATAACCATAACATAGCAGCTACAACAAATGCAACAACAATCATGTGTGTAATCTAGTCAGTGACAGCAACGGTTCTATTAGTGTAGATTTCCGCTTTTCGTTGTTGCTTTTGTTGTTCTTGTATGTTGTTGCCGCCAATCCACTTACATAACAGCATCAACTCTAGAAGGCTTCGTGTTGCACGTTGGATTTTTGTTCTTGTTGTCATTGGCGTTACTGTGATGTTGCACTTCAAATTGCTCTTTTATGCAAGGTAAAAGCAGCAGCAACAACAACAACAACACGCTGACGTCAAACAAAATTGTCGCCAACATCATCAATGTGCCGTCAGCAGCTCAGCGACACAACGTTGCAACAACGTGCTGTTACCAGTCATATTGTCAATAATGAAGCCACAAACTCACACACACACATACATACATATAAAAACGTAGATATGTGGGAAAAAATATCAAACCAGCAAAATGTTTTAGCGAAAACTATATAAAGCGCACATATGAAGTCTAGAAGAGAAGCACTTTCTAAGTGTGTTGTTGTTGTTTATTTTTCTGTCCCTTTTTTTGCTGCACGTCTTTTGATCTTCTTTTACCGTAATTGCAATTTTGTATATCCGCCAGCACCGGTAATTGCAACGACCAACCGCACCAAGCGCTTTCAGAGGAAGTGAAAAAAATATGTAATGGCTTTCCTTTGGTCTCCACTAAAGATTGTTATGTTCTACTGTGACCCATCTCAGAATGATATATGTATGTGGGTGTATAATAGATATAGCTTAAGTTTGCACTGTGACCAATGGTCGTAGGTCTTTGCGCCCTTTTTACTTTACATTGTTTCGTCCAAGTCCAGCGCTTGAATAAATTCAGAAAGTGGGCTAAGGGTTGGAGGGACAATGCGGTCTCTGCTCTGGTTTGGGTCTCAGAAGGGTTTTCTATTATTTCTGGTGAATTTGTCATAATGGTTCCTAGCATTTTTTGAACCAATGCTTCTGTTCATTTATTTTCTTCAAAGTCAAACATGCTTTTCTTCAGGTTTCTTCCAACATTTTGTAAAACTCAATGTACGAAAAATCAAACAAATAATAAAGAAACACCAATTTTTAAAATCTTTCGTTCGAAAACACGATATATAATATTGGCGCAATAAGTACTGAATTTGTAGCATTCATTCGTCATCGATGATGAATCACGATCCGAATATCGCAATAAATGTGAACATATAGCAGACACCTAATGCCATTAGTACCAAAAATTTGTCCCTAAAGATGTTTAATTCTTGCTTCAAACTATTTAGGCTCTATATTGTATGTAATATCACCAACACCCCAGAATGATAATCATTAGTGATTGCTCTCAGTTTT